ACCTTCTGTTTGACTTGCTTAATTTACTTCCCAAGTCTCTATGGGTTCACAGATGCAACCCAGAGATTGCTCGTCAAGCACAGACACTGTATCAGTAATTTCTTTTGAGTATCATTTTGCCCACTGTATGAAGGGTGTGCTATTTCAGCTGGATCAGGATAGTTTGTGGGGGGTTTATGGAAGCACAGGAGTCATGTCATCTGGATTTTGCTTTTGCGCCCTGCAGTGATTTAAGCCTGTGTTGCCCCTGAGTTGTGTCTTGCGAACTGGTTGTTTTATCAGGAACCGAGTCTGGTTATGAATCAGTTTGCTCCTATCTTCAGAATTAAAGTTAATAAATACCTTACAAATGCAGTTCAGAGTGTTGATCAACCACTTCAACAGCCTCTCAGTTTGAAGCTTAACAGGGACGGAAAATTGTGATTAAGTGTAGCTATAGTGCAGCTAATAACACAGATGTGCTTAACTCTGTAAACAGAGAAGGAAGGGTTTTTGCCAGGCCTCTGCTAGCAGTGGGCAACAGACTTTTTGCTCTACCTCCCTCCCACCCCAAAATCATTTCACTTCAGTAAGTATGTTTGATGCACAAGGTGAAGTATTTATAGTGCCATCCAGCTAAATTCAGGGCTGACACTTCCTTTTCATTCCTTCTTAAAATCCTGGGAAATTCCAGCAGTAGAAGTTAAAGTAGTAAAGCAGACCCACTTTGCAGTGGAGCAGTGAATGGGCAGAGAATGCCCCAGCTAAGGTGGCATTCACAGCCATTTGGTGTGAAAAGTAACATGCCAGGGGCAATATTTGGGTTGTTAAGTTTTGTTTTAAAACATCTTTGGACAGAGCATGCCAAGTGAAAAAAATGAATGCAGCCATCTCTTCTGCTGGACTGCCATTTGCACAGAAGAGCTCACAGCAATAGAAGTCACTAAGCCCATTACAGAGATGAGTGATAAGACATTATCCTCGTGTTACACAACAGCAGCAAAGGCTGTAACATCATTCAGTTCAGCAAAGGAGACATGAGCCATTCAGCCCTGTCTTCAGGTTATATCAGAAACAGGAGGGATCCCAGCCTGTGCTTCCATCTTAAGGTAGGATCAGCTATACTTGGCCTATTCCTGAGAACTGTTACTTGGCCTTTTCTTAAAACTCATACAGAGAGGTCTGTGAAGTATCAAGGAAGCGCCTTCCCGCTCTTTGCTAAACTTGACATTCAAAAGCATTCCCTGATGCCTCATCCAGACCTGCCTTGACTGCGGAGCTGAAGCAGGAGTCCCACCAGTGTGTTCATCTTAGCATCAGTCCTCACTGAAGACAAACATTAAGAGGAAACAGCATCAAGCTGTGCCAGGGGAGGTTTAGGCTGGGTATCAGGAACAATTCCTTCCCCAGAGGGTGCTCAGGCATTGGAACAGGCTGCCCAGGGCAGGGCTGGAGTCACTGTCCCTGCAAGTGTTCACACACTGTGTAGAAGAGGCCCTCAACGACATGGGTTAGTGGTGGCCTTCGCACTTGGCAGCATGACCCTACATCGTGTGATCACATCACACATGCAGAGTTTCCAGGATTTTCTTTCCCAACACCACAGATGGAGCACGTGCCGATGGAGAGAATGGTGATATTGAAAGGATTGTGGGGCCATCTCATGCCAGCACATGGCTGGGAGGCAGGAGTCACGGCTGCTGGCTATATTTCCACTGCTGGCTCACCACATGACGGCAACTCTTCACTCCCCTCTGCTATACCTCAGCTTCCCTAGCTATAAACCAGAGACAGTTGTGTCTCCCACCTGTCAGGCACATAGAGATCCATGTATAAACGTGCAAAAAGACAACTAATTATAAGGAAAAGGAGGAATGTGGTTTGTGAGAAAGAACCCAAAACGTGTTCTTTTTTAGGTTGTGTTTCATTTATTTGGCAGTAATATCCAACCCCCCCACTTGAAAAAAATTACAAAATCAAGTAAAATAAGTGCACTAAGGAAACCTACTGAATACTGTTAAACTTCACACACAAACAGGAGGGAAGAGAGAGGGAGGAGTGGGATTTGTTTGTTCGTGGCTTAAATTTGGCTTTTTGGGAAAGAAAAAAACCCCAAAGCCTTCCCCGCCCCTTGCAGTCTGTACAGCCGTTGTCCCAGAGGCCAGAACCCGGCACTTCCTTCCCCAGCAGCCAAGTCCCCCCTGCAGAAGTCAGCAGCAGGGAACAGTCTGGGCATCACTCACCTAATGGCAGCCCATGAGATGTTTCCACCCCCTTTGGGTACCGCAGCCCTTGGAACTGGCATTGCTTTCCACAGCTGCGCTTCCCTCTGAGGGCTCAAAGAGGAAATGGCTCCGCAGGCAGCAGTGCTTTCTGTGGAGGCACATTTGCTGTACTCCTGCCCTGCTCTGCCGGGATACGTGGCATGGCTTGTCAGAGCTCAGCTAGCCCATCCCTCCGCCTTCAGTGCAAGTAAAAGCTCTGTAAACCTTAACTGAAGGACCCAGCCCTCCAGCTGCCCCCAGCAGCCATCCTCAAGACCACGCATCCACAGGAGACAGGAAGGCGACTACAGAATGTATCACATAATGCAGCCTGCAGCAGCTCTTCAGCCATGGACTAGCCTCCCCTTCCTGCACATGCTCTGCTTCTCCCAGTTGGAGATACTCCTGACTGGACAGTAAGGTGTTATCCCCATCCAGGGAAAGCCTTTAAGGCAAGCTGTTGTGTTTTCTCTAAGGCACTTTTATGATCCAATCTGGAAGGAAGTGAGTTGGGAGGCACGACCTACCTTTCAGAGCAGGGTAGGAATAAAGCAAAATGTTTATTAGCAATGTTCCTATGACTCCAGATCCAGCACATAGTTCTTTTGCTCATGCGGTTGGGGAGGAGCGAGGGTATGTCTAATAGGCGCTCCTATTCCAATGCACATTTCCTCTGGTGCCACAGGAACAGGCAATGACTTCATCCCAGCATAGCATTGTCCACATCACCCTCAGCTTCTGTGGATTTATTCTCCTCACCTTCACAGGTGATAGCTTCACAAACCCAGACCCTCATGGGAAAAGAACCAGCCCCCTTCTGTATTTATTATGCTAAAACCCCTGAGCATGGTGGGGTAGATTATGATTCTCACTGGAAATGTGGCACTATGCCCAACTCAGTGGAAATCCTCTAGGTTCACATCATGAAAACAGCTCAAAGCCTTTAATAAATTTGGCTCATGGGCAAGACCCCAGGAGGGACCAAGCTTTCTTGTTTTCCTACACTTGCTAGGTACTAGCTCATTCGTCCTTTCCACGGAAAGCACTGTGCAAACAGGGGGAGGCTGGGACAAAAGTCCTGCTGATCTTCACTCAAGCAGAAAATTCTTTTGCAGATGCAAGTGGAGTTTCGCTTGAGTAAGCACTAGGGACTGCAAGACACCTGGCACCAACTGCTGAGGTTGCTCACAAACAGGAAGATGGAAGTTACAAGCAGTCATCTCAGGGTACCTGCAACTGCTTGGGATGCACAGCGGGGCACAAAGGGAACATGGAAATTGGATGTTCAGGTGTGTGAGCGTATGAAGAACATTTGACAACAGCAGGAGGAAATCAGCTGGGCTTGAGGCTACAGAGGTGATTGTCAACAAAACAGCATTTCACTTATATCTAGGACCAATGCTGAGAAACAGGTCAGACAAAAACCCATGAAGGGATGTGAGGGTGGTCAAAAATGGTCTCAATGAAGACACTGTGATATGTGTCAGTAATGAGGCTTCCAGCCCTGACTCCAAGCTCAGACCTGGAATCAAAGAATAATGCTGCTGCTTTGCCCCACAGGGAGATGGAAAGCCAGAGATGATGGCTAATAGCCCAGACTCCAACTAAACAGTTTTCTATGTAGTTAAGTCTTTTAAGATACCTGACTAATGGGATTGCCTGTTCCCTCTGTGTCTAGGCTACCTGGCCCTTCCCTTTGGGCAGTTTAGAGAGGCATGAGCATGGACTTTGAGCACAAGGTCACTGCTAGCTAAGAGAGCAAGAGCTAGAGAGCTACAGTGTCAATACGTGCCTGGTGAAGCTAATCACACCCAGCCCTGTCTCTTCTTCCCATGAGGGTCGTTGCTGTCCCCAGCTGAGAAATACTCTGTAGTGCAGGGCTGACAAGTTGCTCGTGGTGTTTGTGGTGGCCAAGCGCAGTGTGATACAAACTGTGCATGGGCATTACAGCACTGTCAATAACAAAACCCCACAGGCTGGGTTTTCTTGAAAGATCTAGAGCTACGAAACATATAAAAGCTGGATTACTACCATAGGAAATAAAGTAATAAAAACCCCAAAACAAAAGGGGGAGTCAGCATGTGAATGTGCTAGGGAAAAAGAAACGATAGCACCTCTAAGGAGGGGGTAGGGAGAGTGAGAGTGAGATGAGGTCAAAAGGAACCATGTTGTGTTGGAGCCCACAATGTACTGGAGGAGCTGCTGGGGACAGTCTGGTGGAAAGCAAGGAGGAACATGCTGAGTCATGCTAGCAGCATGGCACCACATCTTCCAGGTGTCACACCAGGCTGACCAGCTTTGAGGAGCTCGAACCAAAGGGGAGGGCAAGCAGGGCAAGGTCCTTGGCTAATGATGCCCTGCAGCACATGTGCTCAGCCACAAAACTGCCAGGCCTGTATTTCTGAAGCCAAGGCTGGTGTTGGTAATTGAAGACCCCCTTTTCCACCCAGCACTGACCTCCGTTCTTTCCTCAGATCCAGGGCAATAAGAAATCCCTGTTAGTTCTTGGAGGGAACAGCTGTCTGCTCTGGGAAAGCGTCCCAGAGGCTGCTCGCAGTCC